TGGTTAAAGAATGAAATGAGAAGAACAGTCGGGGAACATTATTCTTCCTGTATCTGTATGTCGCATCTACAGCACGTCTTCGCTTTACCTCGAACACCAAGTAGATGGTTAAATGGATTCCTCGAATTATCAAATAAAATTAAAGTAGGAATGGGGACAGGGTGGCCTCAGCCGGTTACGCTGAATTTGGTCAGGCTGCACCTGGGGAAGACGATTTTCTTTGATTGCTAAATGTGATGCAGTTGCAAAATGCGGCTCTACAAGCCTCTTCTTTGATTTTAAAACGTGGATTTGCCTATGTACGTAGGTTTTGTTCTGTGTTTGCCGCTTTTTAGTTGCATACCTAGTAATCAGTAGTACAGAAAACAGTTGGTGACAATTGGCAGACAAGTGCAGAATTAAAAAAAATTAAACGAAAGATTGACGCATTTTACGGGTGTCCTTAATTAATGAATTCGGGTTTTTATTTCGTGCCAATATCTTATCCTCTACACTTTTTTCACAAATTTTAAATCTCAGATTCAAAAACCAGCGTCATTGGACCAGGGTTTTTCTAAAGTGAATTTCTTTTCCTTAGCCATAACATATTCCGGATTTTTGGCGCCGGAGACCCGCCCTAGCCGCAGCCTCTCAGCTTAAGCATTTCTATAGGACCACCACGGGCAGGTGGGCATGCAACTTACTTGACAAACCATGATTGGGTCCGTAGGCTTCACCAAGATAAGATAAGTGACGTCAGTAACAATCCTCAGTGTCCATTGGCTGAGCATTGCACCACAGAGAGAACTGACAAATAAAATCTTATTGGAATGAAAAATTTACGCGTTTTACGGACGTTTTTTTTTTTTCACTTGTCATTAACTTTTTTCTTTAAGGGTTTTTCTGTGTCAATACCTATTCTCCTTGCCTTTTTTCACCGAATTATAACCTCAGATTCTAAACCCCCTTCTAATAACCTTTGAGAGGCACGTGTTTGTTTACTCAAACTTCTTGACACAATTTTAACTATTACTTTTAACTATTACTTTGCAGTGAAGGCAAGGAAGTTCGTGCATGAAGTAACACAACAGTTGAACCTTAAATGTTTATTTAAAGCTAAAGCGCACAAGGAAGAAATTATATGATATATGTATTTAATTTTAATTGAACCTCCCAATTAATTTTGTGGGCGTTTTCTTTGGTTCCGTCCAATTTGTTTGCCTACATTGTGGACCAACATACCGGTATTCACATTACAAATTGTCTCAAAGCAACATCAACCTGTATGACAAATACCACACAAAATTCTGCTAAATACTTCTACGCAAAGTCAAATATTAGACAAAAAATGTTAACACGCCTTCAGTTTACTAAAACTCCATCGTTTATCAACTGTGCCGAAAGTCTGCTCTGTGTAGAATAACTCAAAATTATAATAAACCTCCCAATTGACCTCGTGGGTCTTTATCTTTGGTTCCAGTTCAATCCTTTTGCTTACATTGTGAACCTACATGCTTGTTATTACAAACTGTCCCACAGGAGCAGCAACCTGGATAACACATACCATGCAAAATATTGCTAAATACTTCTACACACAATCAAATGTTTAGACTAGAAACACGTTAGAACACATTCAATTTCCAAAACTTCATCGTTTATCAACTGTGCCGAAAGTCTGCTCTGTGTAGAATAACTCAAAATGAACGAGAAAACGTCAAATAAAAGAAGCGCTGCAGTCCCGCCATAATACCCGCTATGATTGAATAATCCTTGTCCGGGTCCGAAAGTCCGATGTGGCTGTCCATGATCCTTGAATCTGTCCACCTTGTGACTGTAAAAAAAAAGATCTTTTAAGTTTTTTAAGAAATTGGGGATTTATTTATTTTCTTGTTTGAATCTATTCATTTATTTACAGAACCGATTGGATTAAAACCACTAGCTAGGCTTCAAGGTACATTTAACTACTGGTATCTATTTCTTAAACAAAACAGATTTTTTGATCTCATCCTTGAGTTCACCCTATACCCTTTTATAGCCCTTTCTTTCAAAATATACCTCGTTATAATAATATTAATATTTATGTTTATTGCAACAAACTACTGGCTACAAAGCCTACGGCCTAGGGTGTAAATATTATTCAATGTAATGCAATAAAAGGCACGTTAAGTTGCACAGATCACTGCATAAGTATTTTATGGACATTAGTAATTTGATATTGGTGACAAAGTGAGTTTCTATTTTCCAAGTCTCCTCACCTAGTCGTTGGTTTTGTCGCCGTCGTTGTCACCACATGGTCCAGCTGTTCCATCAATCCACCTTGGTTCAGCAACGGTTATTTTCACACAGCGACGAGGGCCAATAGTGATGCTGACTTGCTGGGAGGGGCACTTAACAAAATATATTCAAAGGGTAATTAATAGAAATGATTCACACACACACACACACACACACAAGAAAAATACCTGAAGTTCAAATATTTGCCAGAGAGTTGGGCACTAAAATGTTTAAAAAGCTTGTTTGTCTCAGCTTCACGATATAGTTGTTTTCGCTGCTATTGCTAGTAAAACATTTTATTTAAAAAATAAGAAATCAAAAAGAAACACTAACATTGCGGAACGATGAGACCTGGACATTTCCTTTCTTGTTTGCTTAACGTTTTCTATTTTTGGTGCGCTTACTTTTGTCTATTCTTCTGTCGTTAAAGTGAAAAACTTACATCAAATACTTGTCCTGGACCGAATTGTGCAACTGTCGCCATGTCAACCGTGTCTACATTGTCAGTTCCATCAATCAATTTGCAAGTGAAACTAACTGTTAAAAGTTTCGTTCTTGGTCCACCCTTATGAAACTCTGTTAGGGCTGTAACCATCCAGCGAGGCGGAGTATTCACGTTATCTTGTGAAAGAACATGCCACACACCGGGAACCAAGTTATCACGTTTACGCTTTCCATCAAAGGTTACGATGTGCGGATCCCCACAAACAGTACAATCATCTGTAGGAAATAAATAAACAAGTAACAAATAAAACAAATAAAAGCTGTTTCCATCTTATAGAAAAAAAGAAAATTAATCAAAATTTCAACATTTCCCTTAATCAGCCAGCCACGATTAAAAAATCTCTTCCTTCCCGACCAGGACCCAGTGAACATTTGTTTGGTTTTTGCTACTTCCTGAGGAGTGAGGAGTTCATTGAAAATATTTATGATAAATGCATTGTGCACAGCGTTTAAGGCACATGTAGTATTTTATATTTGTTTTTTTAAACAATGCTATATTAAAATGGCAGTTGTATCAGATTTCAAGTTATGTCTACAAAATGCGAGTTTTTCTGTCTTGCTACAAGAAAAAGGTGAAACTCACCTGTCGCAATAGTCCCTTGGCTACTACATTTACCAAGCACCGCCATCAAAATGAGAACTACCGGTACGTAGGTCTGCATGGTTCCTGTAATGGTTATAATCAGTTGTTACTGTCAGAATGAAAGTGTTGTCTATCTAGACCCAAGCATGCTCCGTAGATATATACAGGGTATATATACACACACACACACACCCACACACCCACAGAAGGTGTATCTGGTAAAATGTGATTGGTGACTTGGGTCTTAGTATTTGATTTAGATCATTAGAATGATAGTTTGACAGATGACGTTTTGCGGTTATATTTATTTGAATACAACGTACGTTCAACAGGAAGGGAAACTTGTTTACAGTTAAAGGAAAAGAAACATTTTAAGATGGTCATACAGTGGGAAGAAAAAAATATTATTTCGGTAAGTAAAAAACAACAAACTTTTCACCATGACCCCGACGTATTGAAAATAATATTATGATGGACATGACAAAATACCCTTACGCACAGACTAAGTATAAGACAGTTTTATTGTCCCATACTCATACTAAATGCACATAATGGATATCTATACGGGGAACGTGAACAAGATTTTTCATTTTCAAATGTCCATTCAGAGATTTCACTGGATTTTCAATCTTATTTTAAAAGACTTTCACCGTCTCCCAGTAAGGTAGCGATTTTTTAAAAAATATGTATCATTACCCTGCTTGCCCGTTACCAGTTACACGTAAATATTGTGTTTCTTGCCATCTAGACGACTAAACGTTGTTGGAACAAGAACATCAAATGAGCTAGTTTATGTTACAATACAACAAGTCAACATTTTGACTGAGGCACATGACATATAGACAGATTGGATTGATGAATTACAAAATGTGTGTTTATTGTATGTTTACTGAGCTTCAATTTTTTCTTGGGTACAATTAACGAATGGTTCTTCTGCAATTTGTGTAACGACATGGAACTGATTATTTTTGCGAAAGAACCGTTTTGTGGTAAGGACTGGGGGCGTAAAAACTGCTGCTTGCCAATAGTCTTAGAACTGACGATAATTGACAGCCGGCAATAGTTTCCGTCCTTGCAACCTTTTTTACACCACAGACCAAACTAGTTCTTTCTTATTGCAACATATGATATCATCAAATGGCGTGGGATTCATCTGCATGCACAGCTGTGTAGTTTAAAAATGTAGTTATCTTTTCTTTAAATCTATTCTTAATTTAGTTATGTAGTGTACACAAACATGTAGTAAAAAGAAGGAAGAAACGCCCAAAGATTGAGATTCTATGGAACCCCTTCATCAATAAAGTGTATACAGACTGACATTTAATAAAAAGAATGAAAAATAATTAAATAAATATATCTTACGGAGATAAATGTATATAAAAAGTCATTATTCTCAATATGTAGGTCTAGAAGATGCAAGTGAAAGACTGGCAAAAGTGAGTGGGGGGGGGGGGGACTTTCAATCTCACCCAAGATAGAACACGTACATCTAAAGCAATGGACGTTTTAGAAACAGCATAGCTACCACCCCATTTCCATAGATTTTTAGATCGATCTATCCCTGTGGGGAGTCTCACTAGATTACTGTCAGCTTGGCCGGCTTAAGCGTCTGTCCCGCCTACTAAAAGCTGTAAGGGGGTAATTAACTATGGTGTCCGCTCGGCTGACTGCAATTTAGCCTGAACCCCCAGGGAGTTAGGTCGATCTAAAACTTAATCTTTAGATCGATCTAAATCTCTGGGAAAGCACCCGATTTATATTGGCTGGGTAATATAAGCAGGGGACAGGTGGCGATGTCACAGAACAGGATGCAAAATGGTAGTAGTGTTTTATGCTATCCTTGGATTTTTTTAAGATGCTAAAAATCTATTTTAGCCAGCAAAAACGATGATTGTCATTTACTTGATTTGCTCTTTAATATGAAATGTTTTAGAAGCAGTCATTTAATAAATATAATGCCTTGTTATTTGTAAATACTTTGAATTATATTTACCAGTACCTGTTGCAAATGTTTGCTGTTGCTTGATCATACACAGCAAACTAGCGGCTTTGGAAAAAAACGGCTTTGGGAGCCAATACATACAAGTTCTCCGTCATTTTCAGATTTCCAAATGGATTCTACGAGTTTAGATAATTAGATTTAAGATAATAAATAATCTTAAGAATTAAGCAACTATTCTCAGTAAGAAGAAGATGTTAGTGTTAAGCTGACAGGGGGAGGGGAAGGGGGCTCACATGAAAACACATGGCACAACACATATTTCACTGAGGTATCAGAAACAGTGAAGGTTGGGTCATATAATAGTTATATATTTTTTTCTTTGGGGACCTTGGGGCAGTCTGGGAGCTTCAGAGAGCGTCCCAGCAAGAATTCAACTGAATATCTTCAAACTTCCACGTATTGCCTTCAAATTGTGTCGTGATTCAAATACAAACATATAAAAATTTAATTTCACTATGGTGGCATACAAACAACACTGTGGTAGCATTCAGCGAGATTACAGAGATTAGCGGGTTTTGTAAATTTAATTCTACTACTTAAGCTTTATACGTGATGCACACACATCTGTGACCCAGCATAAAATTTTGCAACCTACACGTAATTCGAAATTTTCTCATTAAGGGGGGGGGGGGGGTATCTCGGAAGGCCCTGGTGTATACTGAGAGCCAGTTATATGTACCCGGCTTTGCTACCAGTTGGTATAAGGAGGATTTACCCAAATATCTGAACCCGCTAGAAGTGTTTACTGTCTTTCTTTAATTGTGAATTAAACTACCAGTACTGGGTGATGGATGAGGCAGAAGAGAACGGTAGGCAACTGGAAGAAAAGGGAATGAACGGATTGATTTTGGAAAAATTGAAACTGATGTGATGAGATTGTAAAAAAAAAAAAAAAAATGCAAATTGTGGGAAAGGCGCAGATTATTGAGATGGCACTTGTTATGTGTTATGAGAAGAAATGTGGTACAAAGATGGAAATAGTTTCAGATTCAAAAGATCTTGGGTTAAGCATTTACAAATTATGTCTAAAATGTTTTTATGACATAAAACCTGCTAAACCCTAAATCTCTGTTCACTCATTTAACACGATTTTCTTGCATTGTATTTCATCAAAGAAAAAACTGTCGTTATATTCCCCCTCCCATGTTTCAGTAAAAAGCAATTCCATCTGGAATCTGGGTTGGGAAAAACATCGATATTGAGGAAGGAGTGTGGGGTTGGAATGCTTTTCTTTCGTGTTGACAAAGACAGTTTTCATGTTAAATTTGTTTCTTCAGAGAGAAACTTAAATTTTTAAAAGTCTTTGCATCCATATGTTTTTCTCAATAATTCTGTTCACATGTACATTATTTTAACCAAATTGAATATTCCATTCGTTCAACTAAAAATNGAGAGAATTTTATTTAAAATTTTATGTGTCATTTTTAAAGCAGTCACTGAGAATAAACCACTTTATATCTCAGAACTTATGAAGCAACATCAGCATGGAAGAGTTACCAGGTCTTCAACTTTTAGTCATTTACTTTTAGAACACAGTGTCTTAGAGAAAAAAGCTGGTAAATTTTACGGTGAAAGGGCATTTATGATATATGCACCCAAAGTTTGGAACACCTTACCCTCTGAAATACGAGCAGCAGGTGACATAGATACTTTTAAAAAGCTTTTGAAAACTCATATTTTTAGAATAGCCTATCAGTAAATATCATATAGTTCATTTTAGTTTTTATTAAGGTGTACTGTAATTTTATGATTAATTTTAAATGTTGTCACTTTAGGTTCTTATCATTTTAGAATATGAATAATTGGTTCTTTAAATTAGTTCTTAGTCCTTTAAAATTGTAATGTGTTCTTATATTAGTATTGTGTTATTTAGCTCTTTTAAGTGAATGTTGTAAGGCGCATTGAGATTTTTTAATGGAATGCGCCATAGAAAAATAAATTATTATTATTATTATTATTCATTCGCAAACGGTGAGAATTGAAGTAGTGTCGCTTTAGGTCTGAAACAAGACAGTGATGATTTTCTTTCCTCGTTTTATCAAAAGGTCAATTGCAAATATGAAACGGTAGACGAGAACAACATTACCGAAAATTTTTGGAAATTCTTTGGTTTAATCTTTATTTACAAACTGAAATAAAATACTCCTAAAAGAGTGAAATGTAACTTCAAATAAATTATTTCTGTAATTATGCACTTGCATGGCGTTTACTCAAAAGAAAATAAAGTAACAGTGCCAGGAAGGATACCCGTTGCAGCATCCTATGTTTCCAGATGAATTAAATTTTTTATTTAGAAACTCTGGCTAAAATTGTGCAAACTATGAAATAAAATAGAAATTCTAGACACTCATAAAAAGCTGTTCAAATAAGAATCAAAATGACAAAGCAACATTTTGGGAATGTTTTGCTCTTGCAAGGGCAGGATATCTTCAAATATTTTAACGGAACTAAAATTAAGGCTTCAGGATATACGTATAGCAGAGAAAGAGTGGAGCTATTCTAAATTAAGATGAAACGAATCCAAAGCATAACCTGGAAAACTAATTTCCACTTGTGGTCATAGAGCCATATAATATCAGCTGATGGTGTGGTTTAATCTTCATGCAAAGCTGTGTTAATAACAGCTGTCATGATAATATTTTACATTAAAACCTCTGTATGATAGCTGAAATCTGGGGTGCAAGGCTCACGTAGACTGTATACATACCTTAAAAATACAAAGATACACAGTTTTGCACAGTGTATGTCCTAAGTAAAGGACTAGGGGGGGGGGGGCGTGTTTAAAAACCATTGCTCGCCGATAAGGCCAGAGCTTCCGAAGATTGCCAGTCAGTGACAGTTCTCATTATTACGGCATGTTCCATCTAACTACATATATCTGTTTCTCATTTTTTGCCACGTTTCGATGACAGCAGCGGATGTTGTGGATTTCTTCCGAAAAAAAAGGCATAACCTACCCTATATAGTGTATACAGAGCAAACGTATTTGAAAAAAAATTGAATGAAAAAACAGCGACTAAAGATGCAGATTCTACGAATTTAGGTGAATAGGTTTAAGATTAAAGATAAAAAATCATCTGAATTACTTTTTCGCAATTATTCTCAGTAAGTACAAGATGCTAGTGTG